ATCGAAGGTACTTGTTTTTCGTGGTGGTCAGCCACTCAGAGCTGTAAATCGCAATGATCTTAGGGATACTGCCTCTGCGCCCGTCACCCTGAGACGTAAGTTGGCAAGTCCCATGTGTCTATAATTTCACCAGCATACTTACTCTTCCAAACCGGGACGCAGTAATGCTAACATTATATAACTGCTTTCACAAGGACGTCTACTGCTACTAAAACTGCTCGGTGTTCGATTCAAGTAATTTCACAAAAAATAATTTAATATCATGATAGTAAAACATTGTGATATTCAATGAACTTTATATGTATTATTGAATAAGTTTTATTTTGCTTCTTATCGTACCGATGACATACACGCTTAGCACCGTGAAAGTGTTTACCAATCGGCGTAAGGAATTCGTTAAATGTTGCCAAGTTGTTGTTGATGTTGACTTCAAAAAAAGGAGGTTCTCATTCAACTGTATTTTATTTGTTGTTGTATGTGTGTTAGGCGATAACTCAATATAAAGGCAATTTGTGAACCGATTTTGATGATTCCTTTTTTATTGGAAAGAGGTATCTCAGTATTGGTCCCATTAAAATTACAAGAAAATGTTCCACCTCCAAACGTGGCAAACTAGCGCCACTAAGATTCACGCACTTTCCGGTAACCGATTTCAATAAAACTTAGTAATACCAATAGCTTTTTACATTTCATAAAAACAGGAACATAAATATAAAGCCAATAATACAGCTTTCCACCTTCATATAGCTTCAGACAAATCATACACGAGCATTAAACAAACGAACAATAAACTGTATTTCTTAAGAACATGCACTTACATAAATATATCAACCCAATATCTGCGCTAATTGTTAAATAAAGTTAGGTAAATAGAATGTCCGTGAGTTTACGCTTTAGCGCATCGACATTACAATTGAATATATCAACTTCCAGGTCACGATTGCTCAGCACACTATCCAAGCTCATGCTAGCTCTACATAGAAAACTATTTTGTCTATAGTTAGTCCTCGCTAAGGAAACTGCCTTAGGGTGATAGTGTCTCATAGAACGAGTAGGTACAATAAACGAAATATCATCCAATAAGTCAAAGCAGTCAACATTATCATTTATAACGTTTAGAATATACGCAATATCAAAGATTTTTCGGCGAATATTCAGACGTAATAGATTCAGATCCTTACAGAGACGTGAGTAGTCGCATGAATTATAAGACTTACACATTTTTAGCATAACAATTTAATAAATTTATTTTGGACTCGTTCAATTCTGTCCATATAGACTTGGTACCTCGGACTCCAGATTTGGGAAGCATATACCAACTTACTACGAACATATGCACAATGTAATATTCATAAAGTTCATGGCCTTGAGAAACAGACTGAGTTACGCATTATGAATCCAATAGTATTATAATATAAACTACATTTAAGTACAATTTGCTGTGCACTTTCTGAACATAATGCTTTAATTTTAATTCACACTGTATTACTGATAGATGTTTTGATCGAATTGAAAACAAAACTACCTTAACTTATTAAAAATAACCTGGCATCAATGGCGTAGCGTCAATTTCTGCCAATCTTAAATTTGCTGCCCTCTCTAGTTTTACAATTTCTAAAGTAGTTCTTTGGGTTCGTTTGTGTTTTTATGTTCGCCTGCCGTTACCACCTTTATGTTTTTTAGGATGTGGTTTTTTCAATTAGTGAAATTCATTTTATAATTTTAATTAAATAACACCCCTTACGCTACTCCATTATAAGGCCTGGCATTATAAGGAGGTCTCCAATCTGCGACATGTACGTCGAGATATACTACCTCCTCCTAAACATCTCTCTTCGCGGAATTGTAGAGACCAATATTTGCCAATCCTACAAATCAATATTTAAAAATGAAGGAAATCATGTGAAAAAAACCCATTGAGGTAGAAAACGCATGCGCAAAAGAAGCAAACAAATTATACCGCGCCGTGTTTAGAAATAATCAGACAGGGAATCAAATCTTCGCTCCAATGAATTGTCAAAGGCGTTACTAGCTTTTAAGAGCAATTTTGTGCTCGTATGTTTTCGGGTTTTTATAGAAACTTGAGTTAATAAACATCTTGATTCTTGTTATAAGATAATCAGTGCAGTAAAAACCGAACTCAAAAGTCATTCATCCCCTGGTTTGCCACTAACTGGTGCCTGTTTGCGAATGGCTCGCATGGCTTGCTTGCCTTGCGTGAAATGTGATTACACACGTGCAGTGCGCGTGCAGTGGGCATACTAATATTAATTGCTATTCAGTAGTTTCAGCTTTCATAACAACTGTATACTTTAATAAATACTTCATAGCGCGCCTCCTTAGTCAAAAGTTAACTAGCGGTCTCAATAGAAAGCCGCACTCGTCTCGCAGGCGTGATTATGTGCGTTGGTGTTAGCCTCGACCAAAGGTCCCAGAGTCTACATATAAACTGTCTCGTAGTAGAATATCTTGCCTCATTAGCACGCATCAGTGAAAATCATCCTGCTGCACATTAAACAAACATTGTTTTTTTTTCTACCCCTGATAGAATCTTCTCAACCCCTATGATTACAAACAAGCTACGTTTGCCCCAATTTTTCCCAACTCACCCCATTTTCTCAGTCCTATGCAAATATGAGTCCGACCCTTTTGGGCTAATTTGGCCCTTATCAGACTACGGGTTCCCATTTGGTTCTATAGCGTTTATTTTGAAGCTTTGATGGGAAACTAAATTTATGTGCGTAGGGGCTGGATAATCATCTTACTTCCGTTATTACTATCCTCTTTAATTTCGCTCATTGTAACAGAGGCGACACGATTATTAACACTTGCCCACGAAATCTAAACCAAATCTGCCTACGCTAATTTATAAGCGAGTTTACAGAGATTAGATTCTCATGGACAATAATAATATTTAGACAAATTAATTATCATCCACAGCCCTACTTCACCCACAGCTGGGTACACTGGGTATACTATACGGCAGCTGGGTCTATTGCAGTTTATAATCTCGGTTTTCTCATCCTTGAGCCCTGATGACGTCCTTATAGAAGCTTTACTTATCTTGGCGTATCAAGAACCGTTTGAAAGACATAGCGGATATCTATGGCTTTGATATTCCGAACTTTTCAGACAAACAGTACACAACCTCTCGTTTCGAGAAATCTGATGAGAGTCACGACTGATCGAACAAACGTAATAATAAAACGTAGTAATAGTGAAGGAAAAAGGAATTCGAGAACTATTGAAAATTAAGTGACCAAAAACTGGAAAACAGGATGATAAAAGGATAAAATGACGACGAAGGAGGTAAGCATTGCCACAACTGGTTCGGTATTCTGAAAGAATTGGAGATGATCGGAAAATAAAGAGAGTTTATCTGGGTCGGCCTGGACGAAGACGTCGCTAAATGTATCGTTGGACCGATGTCATGAAAGCTTAAACTGTCTTCTTTAGTTATCTCTGCGTAACAGAGACAACACGATTATTAATACTTACCCATCGTTGTATACAGCCCGGGTTTATCCACTGATGAATATGGAAGCTGCCATACTTATCGACATAAAATCGCACTAAACCTGTCAGAAAATCTGTCCATATCAAAATTTCCGCCGATAGACATCTGCTGGGCTTAGGCCTGTGACGGTGTGACCTCCTTACACCGTCATCTCACCTCTTTGTATCGCCTCTCTCCAATTGTATCTTATAATTTTTTTTATTTTACTTGTATTTAAATTTTAAATTTGAATTGTTCCATCTTCCTTCACTTTCTCATTTTGTTTTCGTACCACGGTCACTCCCAGCTCGACCGCCACAACAGTCAGAGCTGTTAATAAGCTAATCATGTGTAATAATTTATAAGTTTACACCCTTCATGTATCTATTCCTGTAATTCAGTTTGTCGGCCCATTTAGGGCCTTTCTTTAAACTTTACTTCTTTAATAAATTTTGTGGACCGGAAGTTTCCCATTTCATTGCTGTGAACCTGGCTAGTTAGGGTTACAACCGTTTCAGGCCTATCCTAAAGAGCGCCACAATGACCAGTCCAATGCTGCTTGCAACCAATGGATTCCATCAACCTTTCTCGGTCATGCTTACACTGCATTGCCACTCGAGAATCCTTTGGCCTGTTTTTGTCTGTTTGGTCTGTTCTTGTCTATAACAGATAGGCGTTGGGAATGTGCCCCGCCCACTGTCACTTATATATTGCAATTCTTAAGTCCATGTAACAAAAACGAAAAAGACGCGTTAGTAGTCCGAGAGGAAAAGGAACTTGCTTTCTCTTTCCTTGCATACACAAGGCGTCTTCTGGCCGCCTCTAGCCGATTCCACATTAATAAGTATAGTGACTACCTGTAGGCCTCCCATAATTTGTGCCGTCCAAGACGATCTTGCGTTAATCTCACCAATCCACGACCAGTAACTTTAACGACGGTTTTATAACCACTTCTCAATCATCATTCAGTTATCACTTTACTCCATCCATCATTACTTCGCTTCCACGTCTTCAGTTACGGCTTTAGATTTCGGAATTTGAATCTCGGTCTACGAGTCTGATGCTGAATATTTTGCATAGCTCTTTATGCTGTTCTTATTTAGTACAATGCCTTGTTATTAGTGTCCATGTCTCAACAGCGTAAGTCATTCTGGCAGTAAAGTTCCGTTGGAAAGACTTCATCTAGGGAAGTTATGCCACCATACCTTCTTCTGCCATCCAAGCACTATGTTCTGGTAACGCTACAGGCATATCGGACTTATCAACTTTATGAGTGACAGGCGTAGTTGCAGTGTCTCTCAAATCTTTCTTATTTAAAACTCTGAATGGAACTGTAACTATTCTGGATATGCGGTCACTTACCACCAGAAGTACAACTTGTTTGTGCACGGTGGCTTTTTTTAAATCTTAAATAATTTATAAAAACAATCTAATTTTGTAGTATAATTTTATTATGTTTCTATTTAAATCTAGAGTACTTAGTGGAGTTATTTGTTTGTTTCAGACGGGCAAACACTTTCACCGCACGTCGCTTCTCATCAAGGCTTTCAACCACAAGTTTAGGCTGGACCTCGAGCTCAACACGTGAGTACAGTAAACTAGTAAACTTTGCAGCTAACATTGTAGGAAATACCACATGCTATGTGAGCAGCGCAGTTTGAAAAGTCAATCCTCTCAAAAATTCTGATTCGTCACCGTATTATTAAGGTTGACATATATGTAGATACTATTTTTATCCGGTACTCTTATAAGCTTCCGCAAGCATATTTTCAGTCGAATCAGAGCAAGTCTCTTTCAGCAGGATTAAACGTATTGGCAGCCATATTAAAAAATAACGAAACAAAAATTTTGACTACAAATTATGATTATGGACTTCTAAAGATTCATGCCGATTTCCAGCCGGATCGAAGCAAGTTTTTCTTTGACCGCCATTTTGAATTCGCCGTCTTGATTTTTTTCTATGATATTCCTTCCAGCACCACCTATCTATCTCTAATAGTTTCCGTGGTGGGAGCCTTTGAAATTTAAATGGCGGCCATCTTGTCTATTTGAATTTCGAAAATTTTTTACTTCCGGCGGAAATTGACCAGAATGTACCTCATAAAAGTGCACAAATATTCCCTCCATATATTATAGTTTTAGCAGGCCGTTGATCACTCTTTCATATTTTCCACATTCAGGTCTTCTCATATTTGATTCTTTGCTTTGGCATTTATCCACCGTCATTTTCCCACCATATCGGAAAGTATGCGTTCTATTTCTATCAGTGAGTCTAAACTTGTAGCTTTAAATGTATAATGCTTGTCTTCTAGTGGGGTCAGCAAATACTATTATATTCTCTATATTATATTCTCCATCCAGTTACGCAACTGACTTACATGTTTCACAAATGTTTCCATAAACGCCCGTTAGTTTTTAGTGCTGTTACCCTGATCTTTTTAAGGACATCCTCAATGTAGTTAAGATATGTGCGCCGAAGTCGAGGTCGTCCATTATAGTCCATAAACTCTGATATTCATAACATAACGACTACTTAATACTTATATGTCCTTGTGTTCTTTCAAAAACACGAACGCATTAATTCGATGTACAGACTGCAGCACACCAGGCTACTCAGTGAGTTCCATTGCCCTGGAGATTCTAACAAAAATGTATAACTTAATGAGATGTTGACTGTATTATACAAGTTTTATTCAATAAATTCAAATAAAAATTAGTAGGAGAACTCCTTGTGAAAGAGTTCGTAGAGGGAAGTACTGTCATGTTATCTATTTCTACTGCCTAACAGTAATGTGACCATTAGTGCATTCCGGTTTTGAAGGGTAAGGGTACTGGTGAAATTACAGGCACATGGGACTTGTTAACTTATGTCTCAGAGTGACGGGCGACAGTGGCGGTACCTCTAAGATCTTTGTGATTTTAAGCTCTGACTGGTACTGCGACTGCCAGATGTTATGAAAAAATAACTATTACCACTTAAAAACGATTCATAAAATTTTGGGATTTAACGATCTTGGTGACCTACAGTGAGAGAGAAGGTTCCGGGTTCACTTCCCGGTAGAACAAATTCGGGAAATGTACTTATCTTAATAGGTGAATTTTCTAATGCAAGACCAGATCACATGATTGATAAAAAAAAATAGAAATAACTGAGAAGCAGTAGAGTCATAAATATATTAAAAAACACACTTATGTTACAAAAAGAGAAAACGTCATAAGTAAGCTTGAATTACGGAAAACATAAAAAGAGACCTAAAGCTCCAATAACTGAGTAAAACTTTTGCAAATATGAACGTTTCTAATATTATGAACCATGAAAAACATCCCTTACAACGCATAATACAAGAGCTTATCTTAAACGCAAAAGTAATCCAAACCAATGACACCTAAATAGACAATCACAAAAGCACATCTATCTTTTTCATTCTCACTAATCTTCCATAAGGCTGAACCATCTTGTATATTGCTGTCTCATTTTTTCGTATGTCTTTTTATGAACTCGGTTTGCGAAGTTTGAAGCTTTTTCACGAGAGTGTGTCAAACTGTTTGCAAGGAATGTGGTGAATTGGAACGTTATATTGTGGCAGATTAAGGAAAAAACTGTACGATTTTGGGTCATTGTTATTTGAAAGTATCTTAATAACTTTGGGGTCGATGACTTTTAAATACTAGGGAATAGCAGACAAGACGCGAAGCTTTAAAGAATAAGGATTGAAATAGATTTACGTTATTAAACAAATAATATACCAGACAAATACATCACTACATACCCTTGGTAATATAATACTTTACACCGGGACAGATGCTTCAACTGTACCATGCATAAGTCCAGTCTGGAGTACTGCTGCCACCTATGGGGTGGTCAAAGTCAAAGTCAAAGTCAAAGATTATTTATTCCATAGGTAAAATAAATTT